AGTAGTAGTAGTAGTAGTAGTAGTAGTAGTAGTAGTAGTAGTAGTAGTAGTAGCAGATAGCACGAGAGGGAGTAGACAGGAGAATGTGGTTTAGAGAGTACGGAATAGTGGGGGAAAAGGGGGGGGGGTTTGGATCTGTACTGCATACGCCTTCTTTCACTAGTCAAACGATATACAAATAAACGTGCAAAATAACTCGCTCATTGAACCTAACGTTTACCCACCCACAAGAAAGTGAAAGTCTGCCGATTTATTCCCCCCCCCCCCGGCCACCCCTTCTTTCCACAAACTTCCATCCCCTTTCTTTCATTTTTTTCATCCTCTATTTTCTTCTTCGTTTGAGCAAACACACACCCTCTCCTGTCTTCAACTTACTCAAAGTGTACGAATCCCTAGTAGAAGAGACTGAAAATTTAACCATCGACCTCGAAAGTGTGGTCATAGCTTCTCCACAATTGATTTTTATTATAGGGGGGCCCAAGTTAGAACAGCAAGTTTAGATTTCATTACACAAGTGGCACCTTAAAACCACTGAAGTATAATTTACTATATTGGTCGTAACATTTATTATCATCTAAAAGTGGCTAATTAAAATACTGTCTTTCTTGAATGTCATAACTCTTGACCATTAAACAAAATAGTGTATGTATATATGGCAAAATATCTTCGATGTCACCCAAAAGTGCTGGTTTAAATTGAGATCTAATCTCGACTTAAGGCCAAACTGGAACCTTTGATAGTTTTGTTTGTTTTTTTTCAGATAAGAAAGTCAAACTCGAATTTTCTATTAAATGACGAAAGTTAATGATGACGTGTTGTTAGTGATAGTGGGTGCTCCTATCGAATAAGTGGGTGCAATATACTGGCAATAAATGCGTCATTAAAAGCTGTGAAATGTCATCCATGTCGATTGACATTACGAGGCAGCTTCTATAAAGGTTTGTCAATGGCAGTATGCCTTGATTCTTACTACAAATGTTTGACCCATCAACGGCTAGAAATAAAGGCGTGACAAAAATATAGCTAAAGCAAATTCTTTTTGACAAGAAAACTGATTTTGAAACCTTCTGTGAATCAGTGCAGAATCAATTATTTCCGACTGTCTTCCTTCCTCTCCTTCGTTGTGAGAATGAATCATCAATACGCTATATTATTATGTTTTGCTTTTCTAAGCCAATCGAAAGCAAAATCGCGCAATAATTAATATGTGTCTTTCTCATAATCTATTTTTGTAGTTATAAATATGATTTAGAATTAATCATGTTGATTGTGCGCAGGCAATTTTGGGGGCCGATGGAATACCAACACTTTAGCAAATTAGAGATTGAATAAAACAAGTAAGAGCCAACAGATGTTTGAGGGAGAGAGAGAGAGAGAGAGAGAGAGAGAGAGAAGGGAAGGGGATGATGGAGAAAACTCATACTAAAATTTTTATCGCTGTTGTACAATTTTGCGGTTCATACGTTGATATGATAACGTATACGTATTTTACAGTCAATGCCATTAATCCCAGAACTCTTAGACGTATTTGAGGTCTTATTTCTTGGGTGAACCTGTGATCAAATATTATCTGAAAGAGTGAACGCCTTTCGTTATTCCGTTATTTTCTTGTGGTAGGTACAACTAGGATGGGCCCTCTTGCAGTTGGCTGTGAACGTGATCAACATGCAAATGGGCGTGGTTTGAGACTTAATGCTGTCTTGAATGGTATCTCCTCCAAGAAAGTATATCCACCATGCTGCATGTCCTGTCAGAAAAGTCAAGTGCGAGATTCTAAATATTTTATTTTATAGGCCTAGTAAGCAGGGCTTTTGATATAGGATTTTAATGAAGATAAAAATTGATCTCAACCGCTTCGCCACTCTTTTTTAAAATATTATTATTATTGTTTTAAATTGTTTTTATATCTGGATCGATAACAACAGCATTTCATTTTTATATCTGTTATCATAATTTCAGTTGACTAATTCCTTTTATTTTTTCTCCACAGTCTGAGCGCCAGCCATGGCGAGCCCTGGCGAAAGCGTTGTCCCTGAGGCAGCGCCGCTCCCCGTGCCCCCCGCCCCGCGTCTGGTCGAGCCTGAAGGTCCAGTGACGCGACAGCTGGCCCGCGAGGGTCATTTGATGAGGAACATCGTCCGGAACATGGTAGCGAACATGGAGTATGTACTCAGCGACCTTCAAGGCATCATGGGAGACATCCAATCCCTCGTGGTTCAAATCGACTCTGTAACTGAGAAGATAGACCAACAGTGCGGCACAGGCCCTGGCTCTCAACGAAGAGGGACTTCTCAAAACCAACACGTGGTACAAAAACCGAGATGTGTGCATGGCGTTCAAAGTCCTCATGGGTGGTCAACATCATCGCCGTCAGGAGTTGAGTCTTCGAATGGGCCAGCCGCCGCGGCACTGGGGCATGGCAATCGTAGAACGACGGCACTGCCCGTAGAGAGTAGTCCAAAACACGAGGCATTCTCTCCCTCAGTGATTGCAAGCAGTGCCCAATATTGTGCAGTAGATAGCAACTCGTCTGCAACACCCAACAACGAATCGTCGGAGAAGTGGAAACGGGGTCAAAGGTTATCTTATCATAGACCTCGGGAGCAGCGGGGCAAAAAACACGCCGATTCTCGAAAGAGCTGGCCAAATGAAATCCGCCAGCCTGTAGAACATTGGAGAAAAGGCAACTCTACTTTTTCGACTCCTTCGGGTTGTATTGCTGTTGTTTACCCCACCGTTGGTCATTCCAGAAAAGTAGGACAACCCTCTGGAGAGCAGGGTCCAGGGAAAGTGCTGCCCAGTGTCCAACATTCGCGTCCTTGCGTTGATGAGGCCAAAGTATGGGCCAAACTGAATTTCTCTGCTAGTAGAAAGTCCTCCAAGCAAGATCTTGGGAGAGACAGTGACACTCGATCCAGGACCATACGATCAGAAAGAATATATGAAGAAATTTCACCCACTAAAGCCAAACCTCAGCGCAGGTCCATTGTAAACCAGTTTTTTCAGCCAGAAACTCCAACAGGCCAACGGTCACCTGTAATACACCCGGGTATTGTACAAAGGGCGCACATTGTGAAAAAACCAAGCGTAGAAGGTTGTGGTGGAGAGGCAAACTTGGGACACCCAAGCCCAGTGTCGAAGCGATTCTCTGGGAACTTCCTGGCTTCCAGTTCCGGTAGCCAGCGTGTCCAGAGGTCGGGGCCAGACAGTCCGATCAGTCCATCTCGTCAGGGGACGGCGGATGAGGCTCATCTGTACCACAGCTTGGAGAGTGACCTCGACTCAGAAGTCTCAGACTGCCCGGATGTTCGGAGCCTGACGCCCGACATAGACTGGTCTTACCTCAATCTGGTGGGAGATGATGGATATGAAGTAGCCATAGTGCCGGCTTCTTACAGGCAGAGAGGAAGACAGTTTTTGCAACAGCGCTATCCACTCCTCCAAACCAGCCCTGACATCGTGTCCAGACTATCTCAGGTCCACAGCAGCTTCAGTCGTAAGGCGACCATGGCGGCACCTTCAGGCTTGTCCACTCCTCCCTACCCAGCACCTCCACCTGGAGGTATGGACAAGATCTACTACAACCCTGTTGTAACACATGTCTTCTGCAACGAAGTAGTCACTTCTGATGGCTATTGCGGCTGTTATGAGGCAGTTCTCGACTCCGTCCTCGAGAATATTTCGGGTTTTGAGTCCAGCGAAGAAGCTGGGGACGAGTTTGAAGAGGCTATCCACGAGACTTACGTCAGTTTCGATAACGACTTCGAGGAGGATGATTGGGACATGGGTCTGAGACACGAAGAACCGGAATACCCCGAAGGCGGCAATTTCTTTGCAGACTTTGCACTGGATGACCTTTACCAAGACCTTTTCTCAAACACCAGCAGCGACGAAGATGACTATAGCACCCACGAGACCCAAGTGCTAACTGCAAACTTTGCTGGTTACAAAGAGAAAAATGAAGCTAAGGGCTATGTCGCGTGTTGCAAGGTAGAATATCAACAAACCCTAATCGTACAGGAAGGTCAGACGTCTGAAAGTGACAAGCGAAGTTCAACCCCCGACCATTCGGAAAACAATTCTGATCAATCTATGTTACGATACGACGAACTAGAATTCCCGCCAAAATCAGGAAACTCATTCACAGACGATGACTGTTGTGCTCTTAAGTCTGACTCTGCAGAATGTCAGCCAAACTTCAGCCTGTGGCCACGTCCTTCTGTGGGCCCGCTTCCGGTTGACAGTTGCAGTATGACGTCAGTACGTGACAAGCATGCGCAGTCATCCACGTCATCAGAGGACACCTCCACATCGCGTGATGATGCGCACGGTAGCGGCTCCTCCAATTCCAACATGTCTTTCAGTTCGCCAGATTTGGTCGCCTGCTCGCCGGACACTGACGTTTTCGCTACGTCTTCTGATGCAGACGACTTGTTTCGATCACAGGAAGAGGAGGAGAGCCCTTCTCCTTTCGGGGACGATGCGTCACCCCGCATGACAGCTCACAGACAGAACATGATGCAGCTTCGGAAAGACTTCTTCGATTCGCTCTGCACTACAACAACGATGACCACGACGGGGGCCACGCGGCCTACCCAACTCGTGGATGGACATCAAACTCCAGCGCCGGTTTGTGATAACAGTGACCGACTGAGAGGAGACAACTTATCCGACACTGGCAGCTACAGTGAAACTACCAGCAGCAGCTACAACCGAAACCTCAACACCTGGACAGCATACGCCATGGTCCACATGCAGGCTGATGACGTGTCAGATACCGCCTCTGACATCATCAATGACAATGGTATCAGCTGCAGCATGACGTCCTCGTACCTGGACATGTCGTCGTCCTATATAGACGCTGACAACATCAGCATTACGCAAACCGGGCAGGGTTTTGGGTTCTGATTCTTGTGGGCGCTGCGCCCTGTTTTCCTTCCTATACCAAACCGTAATAGTAATATAAAAGCTTTGCAGCAGCAGCAGATGCGGACCATTTGTGTGTGTGTGTGTGTGTGTGTGTGTGTGTGTGTGTGTGTGTGTGTGTGTGCGCGCGCGCCAGACAAACAAACAGACTCACAGAAAAACAGGCATACTAAAAAGAGAAAAAGGGGGAGAACTGAGTTAAACTGTTTAATGAAGAAGACAGCTTCGTCTGTTCGAAATACGTGCATTGCATCAATATATTTCATGTCCTCTAACAGGGAAAGTAAATATTAACCGAACACCCCCTCCCCCTCAGCTTACACTCTCCCAACCTCCCCCAATCAATTTACACCCATTACACCCCCCCCCCCCCCCCCCCCCACACACACACACTATTTCATTTCAGATTTCTAAGACATGTATGTATGGAAGTGGCGGAATAAGAACTAAATTTTGTTTTTCAAATTGTTGAAATCTAAGAATGATTTGATATGATTTGAGCACAATATAGAGAAATGATAATATTATAACTCTCACCAAATCTACCAACATCAGGGTGTCCATAAGCAAGACAACGAAAGCATTCATTTTCAATTATCAACCATGCTCTTTTATTTGTGACCGTGTGAACTATGAGCGTCAAATTAAATTTCACCCAAGAAACCGCACACTTCTCCATTCAAAGAACTTTCCTTTTACAATAATATCATTGTCTTGTGTAGCTTCCATCGGTATGTCAAAGGTGGATATTAATATATATATATATATATATATATATATATATTATATATATATTATATGTATTGTACAGTCCAAAAGCTAGTAATATCTTTGTTCACCGTGTTATTGCATAATATCAGTGCTGTAACTAGCCAGGATTTACTGTTGATGCATTGAAATACAGTTTACGAGATTTTCCAATTGCGCCTTCTCCGCGTTGGCTATTTTTGTTTTTCATGTTGTTTTTTACCCCGATTTTTTCCTGGGAATGTGTTCGGTTTTATTTTTAGAGCTTTAATTGGTATTAGGCGAGGTGTTGGGTATTATGAGAAGCGTTCCTAC